GCTGACAATTTTCTAAATAGGTCAGTGTTTAGACATATAAAGGTTCCATACTATTTGCGTCCTTTTTTAGGTTGGAACTTTTTGCCGCCGAAGTGGCTGTAATTTAAAAATATATTTGCGAAATTTTCAGAAGGACGCGACCCATTTGCAGTACTCTGGAGTGGCTACATTTTGGCATTCCATATTCCCAGTGAAATTTTCCAATTAAGGTTCATGGTTTGGGTTTTCATTGGCATAATTATACAAGGTAGTCTTGCATGAGACGTTTCCAATTTGTTCATAAATTTTGCTTTTGACAACATCCAGCTTTCAAAATTTGAACGAAAATATCTTCCTTCAATCTTGAGTCCAGTGGCAAACATTTTTGAATCATTTATATTTATTAATATTTTTAAGATCCCTGTCTATAAAACCTATAAATATAAATTGCAACAGCTTAAGAAAAAATATTATTTCTTATTTCTTGAAAATTTGCCAATCGCAATCCGTAACATTTTATGGAATATATTTTTCATTTTATTTGAAATTGATATATGAATTCCATATTAAGAAGGGTTGCCATTATCAATTTCTCAAATGAGACTACCTCCAGTTCGTCTTCGTACGGCTCACAAGAAAGACGCATTTAAAGAGTTAATCACGCCTACGGGCTTAAAAATTACAAAATGGCTCTGTGTTAAGCTTTCGCCTAACTTGCCACGTGTTTTATCTATCGAACTAAATGAAAAATATAAGAAGATCTCGTTACATATGGTGTATGGTCCTATACTTGGAGGACGGCTTGCATCCAGTATTTAAAGAAAAAAATGAGACTACCTTGTATAGTTATGCCATGGCGATGCTATAGTAAACATATAAAGTACCCGGCCATTTTTTGAGAAAATTTTAATACATTCCACATGGTACAGGGTACAAAAAGTTCTGACTGGTCGAACTTTACGACTTTTTTAACATTGGAAAATAAAACTCAAAGCGTGAAATATAGGGAAATTTTAATCGAAATAATGACCAACATTTTAACTAATTGCTGAAAAAAATAAAAATGCTAAAAAAGGTGCTAGGTGCTCGATCACTTTTTTTTGGTGCTAAACGAGTTTGAAAAGTGCTAAATATAGCACTAAAAGTGCTAAATTGGCATCACTGCTATAACCTAACGGCGACTAATTGGATATTCATACAGCGGCTTCAATTATTGTATATACAGTGGTGGTCACAGAATTAAAACATTTACTGTGGTAAACATTTTTTGATCAGCCGTCGATTCGTTTGAAGTATTTTTGAAATTTTTTTAATTCAGAACACTTCGATATGCTCCACTTAAGAGAGTTAGTGTGAAAATAGAAAATTATTGCATGCAATTTTTCCATAAATAACGGTTTTTATGAAAATACATCGTCTTTAAAGTGGCCATATAATTAAAACATTCTGTGATTTTTTACTTTACTGCATTTTTTTGAAAATATTTTTAAAAAAGCTCTTTAATTTAGTTAAATTATGTAAACTAAGCACCGATAAAATCATTTACTGATAAAAATTTTTGAAAAAAATCTGTAAAATCTATCAAAATTGCCAAAAATTTTTACAGTACACCTTACATTCAGAAAATAACCCTTATTATAGAAAATAAAGGTCCAAATGCACCAGAAATTGCTAGAATTAGTAGAAAACAATAAATAATTCTCAAAATAAATAAATATTTGAAATAAAAACTCAACAAAATGGGAATTAACCTAAAAGAACGATTCAATTTCGATATCCTTTTTTGAAGAAGGCCGGAATATTTTTGCAGTATGTGAGGAAATATCGATTGATATTGGCATTTATTATATCAAATCGATTGTTTGAGTAGTACAGAATATATTTTATCAAAAAATATATCAGTCACAACAGAACGAACCGAGATCAACACCTATGTTGACGAGAAAACGTTTCTGGTACACAGCAGCATTTTTGATGCTCAACACAAGACTTTAAATGTTTGTCAAATTGTAATTTTTTTCTTTCTTTTAGGCTAAAATAGATTAAATGGACATTATTCTACTCAAAAAATATTATTTTGGAAAAATATTGTCATGTTCAATATATTTTAAGGGTCAAGAGTTAACCATCAAACATTCTGCTGTGTACCAGAAACGTTTTCTCGTCAACATAGGTGTTGATCTCGGTTCGTTCTGTTGTGACTGATACATTTTTTGATAAAATATATTCTGTACTACTCAAACAATCGATTTGATATAATAAATGCCAATATCAATCGATATTTCCTCACATACTGCAAAAAAAACCTTTATTTTCTATAATAAGGGTTATTTTCTGAATGTAAGGTGTACTGTAAAAATTTTTGGCAATTTTGATAGATTTTACAAATTTTTTCAAAAAATTTTATCAGTAAATGATTTTATCGGTGCTTAGTTTACATAATTTAACTAATTAAAGAGCTTTTTTAAAAAAATATTTTAAAAAAATGCAGTAAAGTAAATAATCACAGAATGTTTTAATTATATGGCCACTTTAAAAACGATGTATTTTCATAAAAACCGTTATTTATGGAAAATTTGCATGCAATAATTTTCCATTTTCACACCAAATCTCTTAAGTGGAGCATATCGAAGTGTTCTGAATTAAAAAAATTTCAAAAATACTTCAAACGAATCGAGGGCTGTTCAAAAAATGTTTACCACAGTAAATGTTTTAATTCTGTGACCACCACTGTATATGTAAGTAATTATTGGCTGACTGCTATACCTAAATGATCTTAAAGTCTCTGTAAACAACCTTAATTTATTTTCAGTATTTCGTAAATCAACATCATATAAAGGGCGTGCGTAAATGCGCTTTGACTCTTGTCTATGTTAAAGATATGATGACATTTACATTATCAAATAAATTACCTATTGCGAACCCCCCCTTAATAATCTCAATTGTACAACAGCTTTTGGGATGTACCGCAAAAATACAACTCTGTCCATTTTGTCGTGTCGTCAACAGCGTGACCGTTGTGCCACTAAAGTGGCAATTTTGACACTTTTTTTCGCCTTTGCTACTTTTGTGATACTTTTTCATTTTGATACAAAATGTGCCACTTTTTGCATTTTTGTGAAACTTTTTGTTACTTTGTGCCACTTTTTTAAAAAAGTACATAAATTAAAGCGATTTTGCATAAAACATAATGATTTGTTTTGTAATATTGTATCAGACGGAGCGATTTTTAACTAGGGGTCGTTTGTAACAGACGGAGCGATTTTTATTTTGATTATTATTAGGTCGCATTCGCATTTGTGTGTTGGTCTGTTCCCGTACTGCAAGAATCTACTAGATTTTACTATTTTCTTCGATAACATAAAGGAAAATTCGTTATCGTAGTAAAAAGTAGTAGATTGTTGCAGTACGGGAACAGACCATGTGTGTTTCGATTTGTAGAATTTTCGATTGCTAAGTCCCAATTTAGATTATGCCATGTTCTGACGGGCATTCGAACAACGTAGTTCGCTCTCAGAATTACGTACATGAATTAACCCGTTCATACAACACTATTCTTAATTCATGTCATCAGAGTTTTTTTATTTCAAACATTTTGTTTCTTGTTTTACACCAAAATTGTAACATATTTGTGTGAATCACATATGGATCTAAATAGAAAAAATAATTATCTTTCTCGTGACTATAATATCAACCCCTATCTCTTTACTTTTAATTCATGTTTTCCATTTTTTCTGAAAGTATTGTTGTTTTCAATACATTTTTATATTTTCTCAACTCGAATGTCACATTAAAAAATTGGAGAATTTTTGTTTGGGTTTCCCCACTTTTGTTTCTCGTTTTGTACGCTAATTATAACCAAGGGGAAAGAAATGCATATTGCATTATGTATACAACAAAATTTACATCTTTCTGCATATATAAAAAATAAAATTTTGGTTACTTTTCATTCATCATTTTTAATTTTACTGAAAAAGTTTGGAAAATTTAAAATTTTTTTCATGCTGTCAAAATTAATTTATTTTCGATAAATTCTCTCAATTGTTAGAGATGGAACAAAATTCTTGGTGATTCAGAGAGTGATTCGAATTGAACAACGTACAAAAGTCGGTGTTCGCTCAGACAATTTTGTATGGGGAATTAAGTAATTACTTCATAATTAAGGGTCGAACAACGAATGAGAGAGCGAACAATGCTCGTCTGTACATGACATTAGGCGAGTTTACTTGCGGCAAGTTTTTGTTTGCAGGAGAGAGGGGCAAGGGGAATAGAAATGGAAAAAATTTGCTCGTACCGACAATTTTCTGGCAATTCGTTTTGTGTATTTTGTTTGTAGTGTCAGTAATTTGAAATACCAATCCAAAACATTTTCGAACATAACAAAACATGCACAAAATATCAAAAAAAAATTGGTTTGAAACCGAATTGCCTTGTATAGACGCATGAAGCAATTTCAAAAGAGAACGATAAAGATTGCCGCAATTAAACTCGCCTAATCTAAATCAGGACTAATTGTGAATAAGTAATTAAAAAATAAATGTTATTCAATAACAATATATGGTCTGTTCCCGTACTGCAAGAATCTACTACTTTTTACTACGATAACGAATTTTCCTTTATGTTATCGAAGAAAATAGTAAAATCTAGTAGATTTTTGCAGTACGAGAACACACCAATAGTATATACCGCTTATATATTGTAAGAATATGTGATTTTATTTAGTTTTTTTCAGTTTACTGTATATTAAAATACACATAAATGAATTATTTGTTATGTTTTATATAGTTTTTTATTAAATAAAAAGTAAAAAAAGTGTGCCACTTTTTGTGACACTTTTTCAGAAGTTATGTGCTACTTTTTTAAAAAAATGATACTTTTTGTGATACTTTTTGAAAATTTTCAGCGGTCACGCTGGTCGTCAAAAGAAATGACACTCGGCCATTTTGCATAAATTTCGACGGCACACAATTTGGCCGAAGATTTTTATAATTTTCCGCTATAAAACACAAAGAAATTGCGAAAAATTCTGTGTAAATATATAGTTCAAGTGTTTCTACGTCGAAATTATATGAATTAAGTATGGCTCGATACAATCAAAGACTGGAAAATGCTTTAAAAAGGGCGAATGGTAAGTCCAAGTGAATCGACGATTTTTTTTGCAACGAAAGAAAAAATCCATGCGGACACCAGACAACTGCACACACCCAGCCGTGAATATGTGTGTGGCTGATGGTGTGAAAGAGACGACAACAAAATATTGATTTCGATTTTTGAAAAGCTGGCAATCTTCCTCTAGTAATGAACCATTTAACCAAGTTTTTTATTAAATTTCTCCCTTTCATATAGAATTTATTGAAGTGGGCAAACCTGTGCGTGCCTTGGATACGCTGCAAAAAGTGTTTCGCAACAAACGCTGGAACGATGCCTTTTCGGAGACAGTTATTGAGCCACTCATGTACAAGTACTTGTACTTGTGCGTGGAGCTCAAGAAGTCTCACATTGCCAAGGAAGGTCTGTTCCAGTACCGTAATATGTTTAATATGTTCCAGTTTGTGAACGTCAATTCGCTGGAAAATGTTATTCGTGCCTACTTGCGTATGGCTGAGGAGCACACTGAAGCTGCTCAGGCCCAGTCTTCGGCTGCTGTTGCCGTCCTCGAATTGGATGACTTGGACAATATTGCAACTCCGGAAAGTATTCTCATGAGCGCTGTGTGCGGCGAGGATGCTCAGGATCGTTCGGACCGTACCATCCTGCTGCCATGGGTTAAATTTTTGTGGGAATCCTATTGTCAATGTTTGGAGTTATTATGTATTAATACCCTCTGCGAGGCTTTGTACCACGACATTGCTCGCATGGCATTCCAATTTTGCTTGAAATATAATCGCAAGAGTGAGTTCCGTCGTTTGTGCGACAAGTTGCGCAAACATTTGAAAGACATTTGCAAGAGCACCAATCAAACCACTGGTGTTTCCATTACCAAGTTGGAAACTCAACAATTGTGTCTTGAAACCAGATTGTATCAGTTGGACTGTGCCATCCAAATGGAATTGTGGCAGGAAGCTTATAAGACTATCGAGGATATTCATGGCCTTATGGCTTTGTCGAAGAAGGCTCCCGCCCCCAAGACAATGGCCAATTATTATCAAAAATTGGCTATGGTTTTCTCTAAGGCCGGCAATCAATTGTTCCATGCTGCTGCCTTATTGAAGCTCTTCCAATTGACTCGCGAGTTGAAGAAGAATTTGTCCAAGGAAGATATGCAGCGTATGGCTTCCCAAGTCTTAATTGCAACCTTGTCCATTCCATTGCCATCTGCTCATCCCGAATTTGATCGTTTTATTAAAGCAGATAAGAGTCCCTTGGAAAAGGCCCAAAAATTGGCTGTGTTGTTGCATCTCCAACAACCACCCACCAGGGCTTCTCTGCTTAAGGAAGTGGTATGTGGTTATTTCCGTTACTTTTGAAACTGAACTGAAATGTACTCATTGGCATTTTATTATTTGCAGGTTCGCCTAAGTGTGCCACAATTGGCATCTGAAGAATACCGCAATTTGTACAACTGGCTCGAGGTTGACTTCAACCCCCTTAATTTGTGTCAACGCGTTCAGACTGTGGTGGATGCCATTGAGGCAATTCCCGGTGAAAATCCCTTAGCACCCTATGTACGTCCCTTGAAGGATGTCACCATTATGCGTTTGATCCGTCAAATATCCCAAGTCTATGAAAGCATTGAATTCGATCGCCTCTTGAAATTGGCCCCATTCAGCAATATTTTCGATTTGGAGAAATTATTGGTGGAATCCGTTCGCCACAATGACATGCAAATCCGCATCGATCATCAAAAGCGTTGTATCTACTTTGGTACTGACCTGACTGAAAGCCAACGTGAGGATCAGGATCGTGACCATCAGGATGATGGTCCCACATTGCAGTCTATGCCTTCCGAGCAAATCCGTCCGCAATTGGTCAACATGTCCACCGTGTTGCATCGCGCCGTATCCATTGTCTATCCCAATCGCGAACGTGATCAACGGGCTAAGTTGCGCACCCAAATGGTGCAACACTACCACGAGATCAAGGATCGTGAACACCAACGCATTCTGCAGCGTCAAAAGATCATTGAAGACCGTAAGGAATTCATTGAGAAGCAGAATAACGCACGTGAAGAGGCCCGTCGGCACGGAAGAGGCCCGTCGGTTAGAGGAAGAAGCTCGCAAAGCCAAATTGGCCGAGCAGAAACGCCTCGAGCAAGAAAACGAAGAACGCGAGCGCAAGCGTCTTCAAAACCAAATTCAGGTTATCAAGGATAAGAGCTTGAAGGAGAAGTGCGAACAGATATCTAAAACTGCTCATGGCAAGAAATTGCTCAAGAAACTGGATGATGAGGCACTCAAGAAATTGGATGCTGAACAGATTGCACAACGCGAATATGAAGAACTGCAAAGAGAATGCAAGGAATTGCAGAACAAAATCAAATCTCAAGAAAAGAATATCGACTACTTCGAACGTTACAAGCGTATGAAGGAAATTCCGCTCTTCGAGAAATATTTGAGCGAAAAAATGGTTAAGGACAAAGAATTTTGGGAGGCCCAAGAGGCAACGCGCATAGAAAATGCTATTTTGGAGCGCAAGGATGCTGATGTGCGTGATGATAAATTCGAATTTGATTAGCGAAGGCACACACCAGTTTGTGTGGTTGTGTGCTATATTACAGTTTTGTTATGCTGTATAACAGATAGTTTTGGTTGCAAATTCGTTTTTAGGACACATATATACTATTAACATATATAAATATAATATTAAAAACAAAAAATATATACTAATCAATACTATTACTACTATTACTTCACAGGCAAAATAATTGGTTGTGGAATTGATAGCGTAAAAAACCCCCCATTAATATAATATTTACCCGCTTTGCAAGAATTATCAATCATTATCCAATATGACCATCATTGGAGCTTCACAAATCATGTTATATGTTTGTTGTATAAAATGTTATATGTTTGTTTTGTAAAATTTTATTTTAATTTTATACATGTATATAACTAATGTCACATAATGCCTTATGTTATTAATGCTTTGTATAATTTGCATGTATATTGTGTTGTTATTATTATGGTAATGGTTTTATGTTTTTTTTAATAAATACAGCAAATATAATGTAATAAAGCTTTATGTATTTATAAATTGCTTGTATATATTTTTGTAACTTTCATTGTTAATGTATCATGCATTGTTCATATATCACCTGTTAAAGTTTCTTATTATATAAAAATATAACTATGTGATTGCACTAAATCAATTTTACTTCTTTGTCTATATATTGTAAAAAAAAATTTGATTTCGGTTTGTATTCGAAAATAATTTGGACTTTTAAAATTCAGTAGGTATTTTTTACTATTGGCCCACTGTGTCAAATTTTGGAGGCAGGCGTGTCTATGGCTGATATCATTTGAAAGGCCATCGAGAGAGCTCTTATATCATGTTTCACTTTTATTCTTAAGTCAACCATAGCACCCAAAATTTGGCCATTTTAAAATACAAAGGGTATTTTTTCAAATTGGCCCACTGTGCCGAATTTTGGAGGCAGGGGTCCCTGAGGCTGATGCCATTTGAAAGGCCATCGAAAGAGCTCTTAGAACATGTTTCACTTTTATTCCCAAGGCAACCATAACTCCCAAAATTTGGACATTTTAAAATACAAAGGGTATTTTTTCAAATTGGCCCACTGTGCCGAATTTTGGAGGCAGGGGTCCATGAGGCTGATGCCATTTGAAAGGCCATCGAAAGAGCTCTTAGAACATGTTTCACTTTTATTCCCAAGGCAACCATAAATCCCAAAATTTGGTCATTTTAAAATACAAAGGGTATTTTTCCAAATTGGCCCACTGTGCCGAATTTTGGAGGCAGGGGTCCATGAGGCTGATGCCATTTGAAAGGCCATCGAAAGAGCTCTTAGAACATGTTTCACTTTTATTCCCAAGTCAACCATAACTCGCAAAATTTGGCCATTTTAAAATACAAAGGGTATTTTTTCAAATTGGCCCACTGTGCCGAATTTTGGAGGCAGGGGTCCATGAGGCTGATGCCATTTGAAAGGCCATCGAAAGAGCTCTTAGAACATGTTTCACTTTTATTCCCAAGGCAACCATAACTCCCAAAATTTGGTCATTTTAAAATACAAAGGGTATTTTTTCAAATTGGCCCACTGTGCCGAATTTTGGAGGCAGGGGTCCATGAGGCTGATGCCATTTGAAAGGCCATCGAAAGAGCTCTTAGAACATGTTTCACTTTTATTCCCAAGGCAACCATAAATCGCAAAATTTGGCCATTTTAAAATACAAAGGGTATTTTTTCAAATTGGCCCACTGTGCCGAATTTTGGAGGCAGGGGTCCATGAGGCTGATGCCATTTGAAAGGCCATCGAAAGAGCTCTTAGAACATGTTTCACTTTTATTCCCATTTTTTTAAATTCAAAGGGAAGTTTTTTAAAATTTTCCCACTGTGCCAAATTTTGGAGGCAGGTGTCTATATACTATATCTATTTTGGCCCTTGAAAAATATTTTTTAAAGAATCTTTACATATATCGGCCGTTGAAAAATATTCTTCATAAAACCCACGCCTAGATGGTCGTTGATAAATATTCTTCACAAAACCAACGCCTAGATGGTCGTTGATAAATATTCTTCACAAAACCGACGCCTAAATGGTCGCCTTATATTATCCTCGAAAAAATTATCCTCAAAAAATTATTCTTTAAAAAATCAACGCCTTATATTATCATCGAAAAATGATTATAAAAAATTATTCTTTAAAAAATACACGCCTTATATTATCCTCAAAAAATTATTCTTTAAAAAATCCACGCCTTATATTATCCTCGAAAAATTATTCTTTAAAAAATCCGCTCCTTATATTATCCTCGAAAAATTATTCTTTAAAAAATCCGCTCCTTATATTATCCTCGAAAAATTATTCTTTAAAAAATCCACGCCTTATATTATCCTCGAAAAATTATTCTTTAAAAAATCCACGCCTTATATTATCCTCGAAAAATTATTCTTTAAAAAATCCACGCCTTATATTATCCTCGAAAAATTATTCTTTAAAAAATCCACGACTTATATTATCTTCGAAAAATTATTCTTTACAAATCCACGCCTTATATGGTTGTTGAAAAATATTCTATAAAATATCCACCCCTTAGATGGTCTTTGAAAATATATTCTTTAAGAAATCCATGCCTTCGATTGTATTTGAAAAGATATTCTTTAAAATATCCACTCCTTTATTGGTCCTTGAAAATATATTCTTTAATAAATCCATGCCTTAGATTGTGTTTAAAAAGATTTTCTTTAAAATATCCACGCCTTTATTGGCCTTGAAAAGATATTCTTTAATAAATCCATGCCTTAGATTCTTGTCGAAAAATGTGCTTTAAAATATCCACGCCTTTATTGTTTCGTTGCTTCTGTGGCACATACCGCCGTCTTGATGAACATATGCGTTGTCCAGATCAATACAATCGAACTTCTACAATAAAAAAAGAATTATTTATCTGTTGTTCACATAATCCATATGTTCCAACCTGATTTCCGAAAAAATTAATTCAAATGTCCCCACCGGGCCAAAGCACGCAAAAAACAGTCACACATTGAGGATGGAGTGGCTTCTCAACTGTACCTCTTGCCTGTTCCGAGCACCAGCAAATATGATTATTGACACAGGCATAGCCAAGTTGGAAAATGATGTCAGCGGTCAATATTATTTCGTTGAAATTCCGGATCATTTTCATTCGCCGAATGAACAGAACAAACCTTTAGTTTCTTCAACAGTTTTTCAAAACAGCGACTCGTTCAATAGCTCGACTTTTTTCACAAATTCCGACGTAAAAAGTAATTAATTTTGTGGATTCTGTTTTTCTCCATTTTCAATTGTTTATCATTTTTATTGCTTTGGCGCAATTTATAATTGTCAAATGTCAATAACTAAAAGCTTCAAATAACATGTGTTTGTTATGTACAGTTCACACTTCAGTGTTGGTCTATGTAGGAAATATAAGGACTTTACATAAATGATTCCTTATTTAAATAGTAAAATGGAAAACATTTTCTATTCATATTTTCAATTCTATTTGCCTTCAAATGTTTTTAATAAGTAATCATTTATGCAAAGTCTTTAAATTTCCTACATAGACCAACACTGAAGTGTGAACTGTACATGAGAATATGTCATTACATGATTACTATCGATAGAATCGAAATCGATAACAAACACATGTTATTTGAAGCTTTTAGTTATTGACATTTGACAATTATAAATTGCGCCAAAGCAATAAAAATGATAAACAATTGAAAATGGAGAAAAACAGAATCCACAAAATTAATTACTTTTTACGTCGGAATTTGTGAAAAAAGTCGAGCTATTGAACGAGTCGCTGTTTTGAAAAACTGTTGAAGAAACTAAAGGTTTGTTCTGTCCATTCGGCGAATGAAAATGATCCGGAATTTCAACGAAATAATATTGACCGCTGACATCATTTTCCAACTTGGCTATGCCTGTGTCAATAATCATATTTGCTGGTGCTCGGAACAGGCAAGAGGTACAGTTGAGAAGCCACTCCATCCTCAATGTGTGACTGTTTTTTGCGTGCTTTGGCCCGGTGGGGACATTTGAATTAATTTTTTCGGAAATCAGGTTGGAACAGTTATGGATTATGTGAACAACAGATAAATAATTCTTTTTTTATTGTAGAAGTTCGATTGTATTGATCTGGACAACGCATATGTTCATCAAGACGGCGGTATGTGCCACAGAAGCAACGAAACAATAAAGGCGTGGATATTTTAAAGCACATTTTTCGACAAGAATCTAAGGCATGGATTTATTAAAGAATATCTTTTCAAGGGCCAACTGAGGCGTGGATTTATTAAAGAATAATTTTCAAGGGCCAACTAAGGCATGGATTTATTAAAGAATATATTTTCAAGGACCAATAAAGGAGTGGATATTTTAAAGAATATCTTTTCAAATACAATCTAAGGCATGGATTTCTTAAAGAATATATTTTCAAAGACCATCTAAGGGATGGATATTTTATAGAATATTTTTCAACAACCATATAAGGCGTGGATTTGTAAAGAATAATTTTTCGAAGATAATATAAGTCGTGGATTTTTTAAAGAATAATTTTTCGAGGATAATATAAGGCGTGTATTTTTTAAAAAATAAGTTTTCGAGGATAACATAAGGCGTGTATTTTTTAAAGAATAATTTTTCGAGGATAATATAAGGCGTGTATTTTTTAAAGAATAATTTTTGAGGATAATTTTTCGAGGATAATATAAGGCGTGTATTTTTTAAAGAATAATTTTTTGAGGATAATATAAGGCGTGTATTTTTTAAAGAATAATTTTTTAGGATCATTTTTCGATGATAATATAAGGCGTTGATTTTTTAAAGAATAATTTTTTGAGGATCATTTTTTCGAGGATAATATAAGGCGACCATTTAGGCGTTGGTTTTGTGAAGAATATTTATCAACGACCATCTAGGCGTGGGTTTTATGAAGAATATTTTTCAACGGCCGATATATGTAAAGATTCTTTAAGAAATATTGTTCAAGGGCCAATATAGATATAGTATATAGACACCTGCCTCCAAAATTTGGCACAGTGGGAAAATTTAAAAAAAATACCCTTTGAATTTTAAAATGGCCACATTTTGCGAGTTATGGTTGCTTGGGAATAAAAGTGAAACATGTTCTAAGAGCTCTTTCGATGGCCTTTCAAATGGCATCAGCCTCATGGACCCCTGCCTCCAAAATTCGGCACAGTGGGCCAATTTGGAAAAATACCCTTTGTATTTTAAAATGACCAAATTTTGGGATTTATGGTTGCCTTGGGAATAAAAGTGAAACATGTTCTAAGAGCTCTTTCGATGGCCTTTCAAATGGCATCAGCCTCATGGACCCCTGCCTCCAAAATTCGGCACAGTGGGCCAATTTGAAAAAATACCCTTTGTATTTTAAAATGGCCAAATTTTGGGAGTTATGGTTGCCTTGGAAATAAAAGTGAAACATGTTCTAAGAGCTCTTTCGATGGCCTTTCAAATGGCATCAGCCTCAGGGACCCCTGCCTCCAAAATTCGGCACAGTGGGCCAATTTTTTTTTTTTTTTTTTTTTTTTTTTTTTCATTTCATTTATTTCATACAATGTAATATAAAAAAGCCAGCATGGCCAATAACTTATATTAACTTATATATAAAAAAAAAATAAAAACCCAAACAAAGAATAAACTAAATAAATTAAAAATACATAACAGCAAAAAACAAAATTCTACATAATGAAATTTAATGCAAACCGCTAACACAACAGATTCCAAACAAGAACCCCAATCCACTGCACTCTACTTAACTGTTGCTAAGAAAAGTGGAGGGGAAAGGAAGCTTAAGGAACCATACATATAAATATACTATATATTCCTCTCGAGCCCAAGAGCAATATCAGAACCACAGACATTAAATTCCATATGTATAAATCTATAACATAAATGCTAACGAACTTAAATAAAAATGGCTCCCCAGCCAAAAATTAAAAAAAAAAGACAAAGTACCATTATGCAACCTGTAATCAGCGATTTCTTCAAAGCCAGCTTCATCAAATACGAGACAAATGCCCAAACAATTCCCTCCTATACGCAAAAGTGGAAGAGGTAAACTTACGAAGGCTCAAAGGGAGCCGATTCCACGGTCTTACGACTCTAACTACAAATGATCTTTCACAAATTGCAGACGAAAACCTCGGATACAACAACTGAGGGTTCCGAGAGGATCTACACATCACAAACCTACTACACAGTGGTAAATCAACATTTCTCATAATTCTATAATAACACAAAAGGATACGATATTCAACATAAGTATAAAAGGATAGGCCAAGAAATTTAACAACAAATTGGGAAACATGATGACTACGACCCAAACCATATACATAACGAACAATGGAGTTAACAACCTTTTGGAGCCGATGCAAATGACCAGAATTAGAGCCCGAAATAACCTCCAAACAATAGTTAACCTGAGACATCAACAACGACATAGCTACCTTCACCCTAACACCAAGAGGCAAATATGCTTGGACACTATAAAGCCTCCTAAGCTGGAATCGCACACGGGACAACAGAAGATCAATGTGGGTCGAAAAACTAAGTTTGGCATCAATAATTACACCCAGGCACTTCATTTCACCAACAATATTAATAGTAAAGGAACTAACGCAAATATTAGGCATAGAACCGTCATAACAACAATTGAACAAAACAGCTTCAGTCTTATCCCAGTTTATATCAAGACCATTGGAAGAGATCCACATAGAGAGAGATTGCAACGTTGTGTTAGCAAGATTCTCCAACCTGGCGAGATCAGCACTCCTAAAGAATACATGTATGTCATCCGCATACAAGAAGAGACTACAATCACTAGCAGTAACAGAATCCATGATGTCATTAATGAACATAATAAAAAGTAATGGGCCCAGTACAGAACCCTGCGGGACTCCACACCGGATTAGACCAACATCAGATTGGACACCCTTGTGCACAACAAACTGGGATCTACACTCCAGATACGACGAAATTAGTCTACAGGCCGAAACGGAAAATCCAAATTTGACTCTAAGCTTGCGAATAAGCAGCGCGTGGTCAATTGAATCAAAGGCCTTAGACAAATCAAGACCAACAAGAAGACCAACATCAGAACCATCAAAAACATCACGAATAACATCAGTAAGGGATAATAAGTGTACCGTAGTACCGCAGCCACGCTGAAAACCATACTGAGAACTACTCAGGCATTTGTGATCACCAAGAAACTCCAAAATAGCATCTTTAATAATATGCTCAACTATCTTAGACATGGCCGGCAATACACTTATTGGACGCAAGTTAGACTGACTGTATGAAGACCCTTTCTTCGGAACAGGCACCACACGAGCCACCTTCCAAGCTTGCGGGAAGGATGACGTCATAAAAATACAATTAACAAAATGCAAAAAGTGAACAGATATGTATGGAAAAACACTCTTAAAAAATTTAATAGGAATGCCATCAAAACCTACAGCTCCAGACTTAATTTTGCGGAGAGCACTTTCAACATCCTCCATAAACACGCAGTAAAACCTAAATGACTCCCGAACCAAGGCACCATCAATTCCTACACTCACACCAGGATTAGATTTGCCAACATTACAAAAGTAATCATTAACAGTATTAACATCAATAAAAGGAACATCATCACCACAATCCAGACAACCAAAGGACCTAAGAGACTTCCATAATTGACTACTGTTCATACGACCGAACAACTTTCCATAATATTTTCTTCTTTCATTACGCATAACAGCCTTGCAACGATTTCTGCAGATACAATATATACGTCTATTGTCATCAGTAGGCCTTCTGCGCCATTCAAAGTAAGCTAAATCCCGAATCGAACGAGCTGACTTCACAACATCAGAATTCAACCACTCATCATTTTTGGGGCTAATATGACGAGTAGCAAGAGGAACAAAAGACAGCAAACTCTGAAATAACGTCTCAAACAAGGCCAGTTGGCTGTTTACGTTACTGGTGAGATACAGAGGAGAAAAATCAAAATTAAACACAAAATCACAAATACCGATCCAATCCGCATTACAAAAATCAAGATACTCGATTACCTTCTCTTCAGCAACTACAGGCAAATCAATCATCCCAAAGATAAGCGCATGGCGAGATATGCTAGGGCATTGCCCCTGCGAGGAAAAGCCCAGCCGCATGGGATCACTGATCAAACAATAGTCAATCAGCGAGGTAGAACTATGAGCAAGATCAAAGTGCGTAGGCTTGGAATTGTGGACAATAGAAAGCCCAAGAGACCTACATATGCCCCGCATCAACGTAGATTTCGAAGAATTAAATAAGTTACAATTAAAATCACCACAGACAAACACATTTGCATATGAATCAAAAATACCCTCATGAATGCTACGAAAGGAATCTACATCTCCATGCGGCAGGTATACAACGGCAACAAGCAACGTATATGCACCGAAACACAGCTCGACGCACAAAGACTCGCATACACCATAATGATCCGATTTAAAAACCACCTTATATGACAATCTGTCACATACATACAACATAACACCGCCACCTACACGTCCAATGCGGTCACTACGAAGAGCCTTATAGCCAGGAACTCTCAATGACCTCGATGAGACAGCTGAGTTAAGCCAAGACTCAGTCACACCAAAAAAATCAATTCCACTGCCAACAAGTAGACACTTTATCTCATCCAATTTGTTATTGAATCTAGACGGACGAATGCTTTGACAGTTCAAATGGGCATACGTAAGCTTACCATCACCACAATGAATGTTCTGCGTAAAGAATTGAGCATCGCTAATTACAGGCCCTAGATTCACATCAGGGCACATAAAAATTAAATAAGAGACTGGGGAGCATAATTATTAAAGTTCGATTAAACATTGAATGCATATCAAAATAATAATAAAAGAATAACAAATTAAACAATAAAGAATATACAATTCAAAAAAATAAAATAATTGTTTTAAGAAAAATAATATTAAAATTAAGAAAAATGAGATCAACAATTATAAATATACATCACATGGCTATGTAACAGGAAACTGCACCGCCCCACAATCATTATCCAATACATTCCGCCTCTGCGAATCTCGGGATCGATTGGCAAAATTAATAAGTTCCTGCTGCTCGAACCTAGTTTTCGTTCCATCAGGAAGAAGAACTTCAACCAAGGGCTGATCACCGTTAAGCAGCTTAAATTTCCTAATATGCTTCCTTTTAAGCAAATCTCTACAGGCATAGATAAGTTTGGAGGTCGACTTAATTAAGTGATCATTTATAAACACTCGAGACTCCACAATGCAATTCTCAATTACTTCCTTCAGAAGAATACGAACCTTTTTAGAGTAATTACGCATCAGTGAATCTCTATCCTGCACAGAGTTAAATTTCACCAACACCGCTCTACGGTCAGATATGTAACAACAGTGCTGCAAATCTCTAGGCACCAGTTGCATCCCACAAACCTTAGCAATATTTACAGTTAGCGCTCTAAGGTCTTTTATATTGTCCGGCAATCCTCTAATAATGACATTCGATCGATTCAGTCTGCGCTGGAGCATAGCATTATATAATTCCAATTCATGGACTCTGTCTATTAACTTCTTTTCCACACTAATAGAAGTGTTTTTCATTTCACTGACAGTTAACTTAAGATCACAAACGGACTGCTTCAGCTCAGTGATATTGCTCTTCACCTCAGAGAATTCAGCACTGTACAATTCAAAAAGAGCATCTGTTTGGGATTTAAACTCCTGCATACACTGTGCCATGTAAGCATCCATCTTTAGTTTCATGGTAGATAACATATCATTCTGCAAACTACGTAAGGCATCCGCATTAACAAGTGCAGCACCATTATCAACAGAAGCACTAGAAACAGGCATCACACCAGCAACCGAACTAACACTAGCGCCATGATCAACAACACCAGCCACACCATCACCACCAGAAGCACGGATACATGTAATGCACGTATATCTAAGAGCCTTATTAACTCGAGCCTCACTTTCAGATACACCCACACAATCCAAGTGGAAGTAATTTGCACAGCCGGTGCATCCAATTTTGTATTTAGATTTTGCAATATGTTCATTGCAGACATTGCAAATACACTGCGACGGCATCTTCAGCAAAATAAACGCCAAAAAAACTGCAGCAACACGGAAAACCCAGCCAGAAAACACTCCAAGGATCACCAAGAATATATTGCTACTAAAATATAGCCAGGAACAACCGAATAAAACTCAAATTTCAAAACTTAAATTATTTTTCTTAAGAGCGCCAGAATTTATAGACTATCCATGTAGGGATCACAAACTCGAAAAAAAGAAAAAAAATTTGAAAAAATACCCTTTGTATTTTAAAATGGCCAAATTTTGGATGCTATGGTTGACTTAAGAATAAAAGTGAAACATGATATAAGAGCTCTCTCGATGGCCTTTCAAATGATATCAGCCATAGACACGCCTGCCTCCAAAATTTGACACAGTGGGCCAATAGTAAAAAATACCTACTGAATTTTAAAAGTCCAAATTATTTTCGAATACAAACCGAAATCAAATTTTTTTCTACAATATATAGACAAAGAAGTAAAATTGATTTAGTGCAATCACATAGTTATATTTTTATTTAATAAGAAACTTTAACAGGTGATATATGAACAAAGCATGATACATTAACAATGAAAGTTACAAAAATATATACAAGCAATTTATAAATACATAAACTTTATTACATTATATTTGCTGTATTTATTAAAAAACATAAAACCATTACCATAATAATAACAACACAATATACATGCAAATTATACAAAGCATTAATAACATAAGGCATTATGTGACATTAGTTATATACATGTATAAAATTAAAATATAATTTTACAAAACAAACATATAACATTTCATACAACAAACATATAACATGATTTGTGAAGCTCCAATGATGGTCATATTGGATAATGATTGATAATTCTTGCAAAGCGGGTAAATATTATATTAATGGGGGGGTTTTTTACGCTATCAATTCCACAACCAATTATTTTGCCTGTGAAGTAAATAGTTTAATATATTAATATTAGTGTGCAAAAAATATTGATTAGTATATATTTTTTGTTTTTAATATTATATTTATATATGTTAATAGTATATATGTGTCCTAAAAACGAATTTGCAACCAAAACTATCTGTTATACAGCATAACAAAACTGTTATATAGCACACAACCACACAAACT